GGTTGGGGGCGCTCCGAGCGTGGCCTGCCAATCAACGCCTTCAGGGCCAGGACGGTCTCTCTAGGGGGCGGGAGATGTCTAACTTGTTCAAAGAAGTTCGTAGCCTGCAAGAGGAACCTGTTATAGAAAAAGGAGGTACACCTGGAACTAATATACATTAATAGTTAATGTCAACTATAACTGAACAATTACAGAGATTAATTTTAAAAACAGGAAAAGGAGGAACTGCGTAGGGAGAAAGTTTCAAGTTTCTGGTTAGAGAGGAGGGTGCTCTGTCATACAAGGTTGGGGACAAAATGCGTTTCAGCAGGTTTCTGGAAGTGCCGCTGGAACTCCGCAAAGGATCAATTTAAATTATATTAAATTTATTCTTTGAAAACTGCAGTTAAAATAAATCAGCCACTCAGAGGTGTTAAATTTGGCCTCCATCTCAGAGGAGTTGACAATGGTTAACTTGAGGATTGGTCTTTAGTCTTGGGCCAATTTAGGATAACTTATTTTTTGTTTTCATTTTTGTTGTTATTGAATTTAAGTGAATCCTACGACTGCAAAGCAAGTAGATTTTTTTAAAAATCTTATTATTCACAGTTACTTGTCTATAGGATCAGAATTGTTTAATTGTTTAACTACTTTACAAACAACCCAAATTGCAGAGGGCTGGGGAATAGATGCTGCAGGTAATAAAAGGATTGTAATCTCCATCCATCTTCCTAATTTCAGTCCGTTCATTTATTCAACAAGTCTTTGTTGAATGAACACTTACTTTGCACATGGAACTGTCTTTAATGGACTACATAAGCCAGAATTTTCTTTTTTAAAAAATATTTTTATTGATTTCGGAGAGGGAGAGAGATAGAAACATTAATAATGAGAGAGAATCATTGATTGGCTGCCTCCTGCACACCCCACACTGGGGATCGAGCCCGCAACCCGGGCATGTGCCCTGACAGGGAATTGAACCGTGGACTCCTGGTTCATAGGTCGATGCTCACCCCCTGAGCCCCCCCAGCTGGACAAGCCAGCAATTTTCAACCAGTGCTGCAAGAATTTTTAAAACATGCAATACCTGACTATTTAGCCAGGGGCACTAACCTCTTTTCCCTTAGATTGTCAAATAAAAAAAAATGACAACAGCCAACACAATAGCTGTCTGATGTGAATTAATCAAAAGTATACCAATTTTTTAATTTTTAAAATTGATTTCAGAGAGAGAGATAAAAACATCAATGATGAGAGAGAATCATTAACTGGCTGCCTCCTGCATACCCCCTGCCAGGAATGGAGCCTAAAACCCAAGCTTGTGCCTTGACCTGGAATCAAACTATGACCTCCTGGTTCTTAGGTCAACGCTCAACCACTAAACCACACCTGGCCAGGCTATAACAATTTTTTTGGCAGAGTGGCAAAAAATATATTTTTTGGTGTGCTGAAGAATTTTAGTGATTACATTGTGTCACGAGATCAAAAAGGTTGAAAATCACTGATATAAGCTAATGTTATACTTTAAACCTAAAAGTGAATTAACACCAATAAATATCATTTTGTCTGTTTAATTTAGTAGGGAATTATGAACTTTTTTTGTTAATCCTCACCCAAGGATATTTTTTCAATTAATTTTTTAGAGAATGCAAAGGAGAGGGAGAGACAGAGAGAGAAATATGGATGTAAGAGAGACACAGGAAATTGAACATCAACTGGTTGCCAGTGATGGAGCTTACAACTGAGGTATGTGCCCTTGACTGGAATCAAACCCGAAACCCTTCAGTTGGCAGGCCGATGTTCTAACCACTAGGGCTGCTCCATGTCTGCAGAGCTGCCAATGTGAGAAACACTGCCCCATGATGCTCTGGCCTGGGCGGCTGTATCCAGGGTCCAGTCTGTATGGCTATCAGCTTACCTCTCTCCTCCAGCTTTGGGATAAAATACACAAAGCTCTTAAGCCCTTAGCCAGAGAGCAGACTCTGTCCCCACCACCAAACCCATACACACACTCCAGGTCACTCAATTCCAGGGAAGAGCAAGGATTTAGGGAGCAAACACCAGGCGAAAGTAGGTCACAGCAGGAGGATGGTAATCCCTGCTGTGGCTGGCCAGAGCAGTCAGCCCCTGCTATCAAGAGTGGCTCTGGGAAGACTTTTGGGGTCTGGAGCCCCAGCACCATCCCTTCTGACAGTATGCCCAGACATTCTCAGCCCAAGCGCTTGCTGACTGTTAACATTTCCTATGCTGGACTTAGAGATTCTATCTTTCATTCCACATCTTCCACAAGTATATTCTTTACACCCAGCCCTAGATCGGATAGTAGAGATACAAAGAGGACCCTTGGGGAGTACATAGACAGGAATTCTGACCCAGACCCAGACAGTAATAAGTTAGTGCTGTTATCAGTACTGAGATAGGCGAGAGCCCGCGAGCTGTGTGGACCTGTAGGAGGCTGCTGATTCAGTTTGGAGTCAGGGTAGAAAATATTTCCTGGAGGAGGTGATGCTGAACAAGAAAGAAATTCACCAGGAGAAAATGGGGAAGGGTACAGAGAATAGATGTACAAAGACCCAGAGGAATAAAAGTATGGTCTTTCCTTCTGGAAAATGCTGGTGGTCAAAGAGGGGCAGATCTGGGAGTGTTGTTTTTCTGAACTTTCTCCTTCAGGTTATAGAAGGTGGGTAGTGCTGGTGGGGAGAGAAGTGGGGATAAAAGTACAGGAAAATGAACAGGAGCAAAGATAGGGCAGAGAGGGAGTTAATGGAAGCACCTAACCTAATCGGAATGGGATGGTATTTGGGAAGCATGGATTGAAATAGGACTCCTACATATGTGGGTGGAGGTCTCTGGAAGCACTTGTCACTCTGGAGCCTCTGCAAGGGTCCTCCTCAGGCCTGATTCTGTCCTGAGGGCACAGCTCCCAGGATGGGCTTTAGTATAAATCTAGCCTGCCTAGATATGGGTTCCCGCCCATCTCTCTCTCTCCCAACCGATTCTTTTGGGCCCCTCTTGTGATGCCCTCTCCAAACCAGCCCCACCTCTCCTCCACCACTTGTAAGCCTCCATCCTTACCTCCTATTGCCCCTATCATGCTCCTTCTCTGAAGCCTCCCCTGACCTCAGGGGCTGGATCGGTAGATCACTCCTCTCCTCTGTGCTGCTACAGAAGAGAGTTGGAGTAGACTGATAAACTGTGGGCAGAGCTGGCTTATGTAGGGCCTCCTAGACAATGAGAAGGAGCTTAACAGCAGAATCAGTTTTTCAATATAGATAATGGAGAATAAAGCGGAGGGAGTGAGAGTAGAAGCCACTGAGGACGACATGCCGTGCCCACTGTGGGGTGGTGGTTTGGAATAGGGTCCTGGTGCTGGTGGTAGGAGACTGAACAAAAGAGGATCTCACCCTCTCTGAGACCCCTCCTTCCCTCAGAATGTGCCCATGCTGAATCTTGCTCTTCCTCTCCTCCAGGATGAACAGGGGCACCTCACACCACACTCCCATTCCATGCTTCCAGAATGCCTTCGGGGATTGTTTTGATTTCACGCTGTACACCTCTTCTCAAAGAACAAGCTTGTGGAGAGCAGAGACCAGGGGAACCTTCATTGACTCCAGTTTCAGCAGCTCCAGGTCACCTTGGGGAATTGAATGTAAATTCCAACAGGGGCTCCCCACCTTCTGAAACAGGCTCCCCTCAGATGGACAGGACCCCAGAGAGGGACAGGACAGAGCATTTACTTAGAGTTGTCTTAAAGGCTAAGGTTCAGCAGAGGAGATGAGATGGTCAGGAGTCTGGAGGCTAGAATGAACCTGGGGGGTGGGGGTGGCCATAGTGGGGAGTAGGATGAGACACTCCACCACCTCACAGGGTCCCTGGGGGCCAGGTAGGGCTAGGAATACCAACCTGGGAGGACAGACCACTAGAGGTCCTGGAACCTGCACGTAATGGAAAGCTCGGCACTGCCCCTGGGAAATGCATGTTTGCAAGGAGGAAGATGGAGTCCCCTGTGGCAGCCTTGGGCCCTGCCCATTCTGTCTTGGGGATCAGCTTCTGGAGGCCTCCGTCTCAGTCAAGCAGTGAGCAGCCAGAAGAAAGGAGCTCAGTACAAATATAAATACCTTTAATGAAAGCCGAATGCACCTTACAGAGCTTCGAGGACAGCTACCAGAGCTGGGGTGGCAGCAGGGGCACTGCTACTTGACCCCAATGGCTAGGCCAGAGGCCCCAGGAGGCAAACAAATGCCAGAGCAGCCGCCAGCAGCAGGGGAGCAGGGGCTGGGGTTTGGGCAGGTGCTGTCCCCCTCAGTGTCTCCTGGTTGGTCTCGGGGCCTGCACCATGCTCCCAGACGTGCACAGGGCTGCCACACAGAGTGTGCAAGTTATCTGGGTGCGGGGTCCGACGAGCTTCTTGCTGTAGTGACTCCCACACAGCAGCCACCTCCTTCGGGCAACCCGACAGAACTTGAGAGGCGCAGGTGTGGAAGTCATTCCAAGACCTGTTCAGGGCACAGGATGAGGGGAGTTAGGTGGGACAAGGAGGCTTTGGAATGGGAAGAGGTTCAGGCACGGAGAGTAGAGAGGGTCAGGCTGCTGTCCGTGCACCTGCTCTTACCTGCAGATGGTCTCCAGCTCACCTCCGTGACCCATGCCATCCCCCAAGCGGATGAGACACTTGGCGAAGCCCTGGTATATGTCACAGCGGCTTTGGCCCACGGCAGCTGCCTCCAGTGGAGATAAAAGGACTGGGGTTAGGGGTGGAAAATAGTTGATAGGATGAACTGGCCCACCTCCCAACTCCCAGGGGCTTATTTACTCTGGCAAGCTCTGGGGACATGACTCAGCGTGAAAGAGGTACCCCAGGGAAATGAGGGGCACATCTGGGATCACCTGCCTGGGCTCTGTTCTAGGTGGGACTGAACAGAGTCAATGTGGAGCAAGGCAGGGTAGCGTCCTCACATCCCAGGGGTCAGCTCTTCCTCTGAGCTTCTGGGGCTTCTGCAGCCCCAAGTCGGGTAAAGATGATCCGAATGAAGGAGCCAGGACAAGATAAAGGGGGGCAGGGTCCAGGGCCACACTTCCCCTCCCCAGCACCATCCAGTCTCTCTGCAGTTTAGACAAACTTTGCTTGGCTTTCCCACCCCATCCAAAACAAGTATTTCAGACAGGTAGGGCAGGATAGAGGGTGTCAGGATCCAGGCCAGATCCTAACAGAAGACCTCAGAGGACCCCAAAGCTGGTCTGAGTCTCACCAAAGGCTAGGTCTTCCCTTTAGCAGAATGGGGGCTGTGAAATTTTGAGGTCTTTCCCCCACAACCAGGGCTCAGTTCACACCCCTCACTTTCAGTTCTAAAGACACGGGTACACATTATTCCCTCCATGGAGCCCTTGCACCTCCTTGCCACACTGGCTCCCAGCGCTCAGGAAGGCTGTGCCCCAGCTCCCACACACCCTACACCCAGCCTGATGAGAGGGTGTAAGGCCCAGGTCTAGTACGCCTGCACTCACCGAGTGGTGGTAACAGCAGCAGCAGCAACAGCCCCACCGCACGGGGCAGTCGCTGGCAGTGGTGACAGCAGCAGCAGAGCATCATCCCCGGCTGGGAGCTAGTGCCAGAACTAGCAGCTCCGCTAGGAGTACAGCCCTTCAGCCCAGCCTCCGGAAGGAGGGACTGTGATTGGATGGGAGCTGGGGGCGGGGCTTCAAAGCTAGCAGGCAGCCCTACCACCAGTAGGCAAATCAGTAGGCAAGTTGACAAAGAGGGACCCTAGAGATAAGAGCCCAGGGGATCACTGCTGGCTAAGCTGAGCCCAGGGCCCTTGGCCCAGGGATGGAGAGGGGAGATGTAGGAAAGCCGATGAGGGTGGGTGGCCAGGACCATGGAGTGGGTTGGCCTTGACAGAGCTCTACAAAAGGAGAAGAGAGGCCAGGGAATAGAAAGCAGTTATCAAAGTCACTCCAAAGACACACCAAAAGCACACATATTCCATTTTATTCCAAAAGCATTTAATTGAATTCCTTAATGTTTTTCAAAAACAAAAAGATCCAAAACAGAGGTAAAAACGAACATGGAAAATTCAACTCAAGTGGCGTCACAATCTCGGGGGGTCATGCTCCAGGCATGGCAGAACCCAAGAAGGCACAATACCCACCTGGGCCCAGCCTAAACCTGCTGGCTACCATAACCAGTAGACCACAGCCAGTGCTCACCCCCTCAACCACCTCAGAGGTGCAGAGGTGGAAGCCTGAGCAGGTACAGAGCAGACATGACCCTGCTTTGGCCTAGGCCCGTCTACTGGTCTTCAGTGCCACCCCACCCCAGGGCACGGCAGGCTTAGCTAAGGGAGGCTGGGGGTCACAAGGCCATGCAACATGAGGCTGAGACGCCGGGCCACTTTGCTGAGTGAGTTGTGTGGTTCGGCCTGCAGGAACTGGAAGAGCTTCTGGCGCACCTGGGCCATGACGGAGCCCATGTGGTCCCGAGTGACAGGGTCACTGTGGTCCAGATGCATCACAGCCTCTTCCAAGTAGCTGAGGACAGAGGAAAGGTACAGGCTACAGGTGGGCTCCGGCAGATGGGAGCGCCCCCTGGTGGCACTGAGGCCGACAGGGATGCCTAACAAAGGAACCCTCCAGGCCCGAGATGGGTGGAGGCAAAGGGAACTGGTGGAGAGAATTAGGGAGGGAGTCAGGCTAGAGCTGGAGTCTCTGCTTTGAACTGTTCCCCCACCTCCACCTGAGCCCATCTCCTGGTCCATCTCCTGGTCCAACTGCGCCCACTCACCTTAGCTTGAGGTCAGTTCGAGTGCCAAGGTCAGAGGCCAGCTGCTGGATGAGGGAAAGGAGCACAGGCTGGGAGAGTGGGCAGGGTGGCTGCCCAAAAACCTGGCCTGGGTCCACAGTTTCACAAACATATAGCACCAGGTTCAGGTCAGCAGCTGTCAGGGCCTGGGTAGAGAATAGCATTTAGTGTGTGGGCCTTGTCAGGAGACACTTAAGCCTTAGCTGGGCCTAACGCCTGGCATACCTGCTGGAAGGCCTGATTGAGGTGGCCCTGCTGCAGCAGCTGCAGGATATGGGCTTGCTGGGCCTGGCAGTCGAGGTGGGTAGTAGGGACAGGTGTGCCAGCAGCTGAGCGCATGGCCTGCATGATGCTAGAGGTGACGGCGGCCTGCTGCTCCTTGAGTGCCACACTCACCTCACCCTTAACAATGCGCTGTACCTGTGCTAAAATGGACTCCTGCAGGCTGCAAAGGGAAATGAGGGAGATGAAGTAGGGAGTCTGGTGTGGCCCTTTCCAAACCTACCACCTTGCCCAGGACCCTACCCACACACCTGCCCACAGCCACATGCAGCTGGTGCTGCACTTCAGCTCGAACACTGCTGGACACAGTGGCTGCCATCTGCTCAGTGGCGCCCTGCAGTGTGCTGACCAGGCCCCGCAGCTGAGCTAATACAGGCTCCCTCGCCTCCTGCTCTCGCACCTTCCGGCTCTTCATGTGGCTCTCTAGCTGTTGCAAGTCTGAAAGTTGACCATGGGGGCCATGAGAGTGATGGGGAAGAAGAGGATAGCCCCTCCTCCACCTTGGAGCATATGACTCCACTCACATTCCTGTGTGCCCAGTCGGAAACTATCATTGATCTGCTGGAACATAGCCTGGCAGCTCTTCTCAAAGGCAGGCAGCACCACACTCTGGAAGGCTTCACGGTAGGCGGCCTGCATGGGCCCCTGTAACGTGTCTGCAGCTGCTCGGGCGATGGCATCTGTCAAGTTCTGGGGGTAGAGAGAGGGGCCGGGTCGAACCAAAAGCCTGAGCCCAAGCTGGCCTGACCAACCCCACCAACCACCAACCTCCTTCATCTTTGACCCTTTAGCACCTTGGACTTCAGCAGCTTGGAGATATTCTCTTTCATGCTACCCTCCACAGCCGTGAGCTTGGTGGCCACTGAGGTGTTCAGTTGGCCTGCCACAGGCTCCAGACTCCTAGAGACACCTGGGGCAGGGTGCGGAGGGAGAGGTGGAGCCATGAGAAGAAGCTTGACAGGTGGGGGGCCCACTCCCATCCAGCCCATCCAGAAGTCTCCATGCAAAACTCACATGGAGGCACCGTCTTCTTGATCTCATCCCGTATGCTCCGCTCCAGTCGCCCGGCCACAGCTGAAGACAGTGCCTGGGACAGCTGTTGTGTCAGCTGTTCCTGCAGCTGCCCACCCCGTTGCTGCCCCTCGGCCAGTGCCCGCTCCAGCCGCCGCTCTGCACTGTAGTTAAGGAACAGGCCTGGAGCAGGTCCCGTTTCCCTTCTAGGTCTAAGAATGCTGCAGCTGCCCCTATCCCTCTGCCATGCCAGGTCACTGCCCACAAGGATACGCTCCTGTTCGTGCCGAGACTCGAGGGCACGTTCCACGTGGCCTGTGACGGTGCTCTGCAGGCCTTCGAGCTGGGTGCACAGACGCTGCAGCAGCTCTTCTTGGCTGTGCCGCAGCTCCGCCAGCTCTCTCTGCTGTTGCCAAATTAGTGCTGGCCAGTCCTCAGGGGGCTCTGCCACCTGCCAGTAGCACCAACAATCACATGCCTACCCCACCTGTCCCCACACACTAGACTAGGGAATGGCCCAGAGCTCTTCCCCACCCTGAGAGAGGAGTCCTAGAAGTAGAAAGAGTATTTGCTCACTCACCTGGTGCTCCGTGAGCCGGGATCCCACGGCTGAATCCCTGCCATAGGCAAGAAACACCTCAGGCCAAGTCATGCAGGCAGCCTAGGGACCACCCCTCCCCCTGGCCCCAGGACCTCTCCTACCCGTCATCCTTTTTGCCCTTCCTCTTGAGCTTGGGTGAGGTCCGAGGGGATCCCTTAGTCTTCCAGTCCTTGGCAGGCAGTCGTGGAGTGGGAACTTTGGTGCTAAAGCCCCCTGCAGCAGAGGCAAGGCTGGCCACCTCATCATCGTGGTCACTGTGAAAAGGGGAGAGAGAGGCCTAAGTGCCTACCACTTGCTGGCCCTCCCTTGTGAGAGAAAGGTTGTCGAGTGGCATCTACCTTTGTTCAGCGCTGGTGTCCTGGCTGTCATGTTGCTGCAGCAAGTGATAAGGTGGTCGGTGGAAGGCCAGGCTCTTATGCTTTTCCTGAAGGCCATTCCTAGGGCTGGGAGGACGGCCGACTCAGATGACCATCTGAAACCCTTAGCATCAGTATACTTTCCCCCTCCCAAGCTCCTCACCTTTCTGCGAGACTGCTGCAGGTCTCCCGAGTAATGTCTGGTGCTGTTGGCCAGACCTGACTGTCAGGGGCTGTGGCCTCCTGGGACAAGGCTGCCTCCAGAAGGGAAGGGGTACTATGCCGATCCCCATCCCCCGGGCCTCCATCCAGGCTAAGCTGGGGGCCAAGCTCAGGCCCTGGCCGGGGGCGCGGGGACAGCAGATGTAGTGCAGAGGCAGCTGAGGCCATACTGTTTGGCTCAAGGTCCTCAGGAGCAGAGGAGCCAAAGCCACGGGACAGGGCCTCAGATGCGATCTCAGGGATGTCCTGGGACAGGGCAGTGGACGCCGAGGAGATAACATCAGGAGAGCGGGTACGGCTGGGGGAAGCCTGGGGTAGCCCCAAGGGCTCTACTTCCTGCAGCTCCAGGGCGAGTGCAGAGGCAGCAGTAGGTACCTGAAGTGGGCCAAAATGGGGACTTAGATGGAAGGAAATGGGGGTGGGGGAAACACAAAGACAAGGCACTCGTGTTTGCAGTGATGAGATGGGACAGTGGGATGCAGTAAAAGACAGCCATAGCTCTGGAGGAGAGGAAGTGGGAATGGATAGGCTGAGGAGCTGCCCTGCAGGGAACATGGCAGGCTGAGATGACCTCAAGGGAAATATGGGCCACTTGAAGCAGAACAGGACAAGGAGACAGGGTGCTATAGAAGACTGCTCCGACCTTCCTGATGTTATACACCTGCTAACCTGCATTTCACACTCACGCACCTGTCCAGGCCCTTTGGGAGTTAATTTGTCAGCTGGACCTGGGAGCAGGCTGGGCAGGAGGCTGCGTGGGCTTGTCTGCAGGCTGCTGCCGCCGCTGCTGCTCATTGTCAGACTGCCATCCATCTGCAGCTTGGGGCTCAAGGTCAGCTCCTCAGGTGGCCTGATGGCAGGAAGGCTGAGGCATAAGCGGCCAGAGCTTGACATCAGCTGGCACCAACCCTCGCCATCCCCCAACTCTGACCCTCACTTCACCTGGGCAAGGAGGGGTCCACAGCTGAGGTACTGCTCATGGCAGATACAGCTGTAAGAGAGGAGCTGCTGCTGCTGCTGCTGCTACTGCTGCTATTACTAGGGGATGAAGCAATCTGGGGAGATGCAGAGAGTAAGAGCTGTGGCCTATGGGTAGGGATTCCCAGGTCCCCCTGCCCTAAGCTCTAAACCCCAAGCCCCAGCCCCAGCACACCTGTTGCAAGGAGGTGCTAGGTGTCATGAAGGCGTCAGGTGTCATCAGCTTGGGCTTGGTCTCACTGCTCAGACTAAGGAAGTCAGCGGGTGCAGGTAGCTCCACAATGCGTCGGAGATCAGGCTGGGAGCCGTGAGTAGCTGAACTCAGGCCCTCGGCGCCCAGTTCGGGCCGAGATTCTCCAAATGCTGTGGGGAAATCTGCCACTTTAGTCAGATCTCAGACCCTGGCCAGTTTAACCTGCTTCCCTCTCACCCCTTACTCACCAAAATCCTCATGGGCAGTGTGGGTGGGGAGTGGGGCCACCACATCAGGGTTCAGCTGTGGTTGGAAGCGGATCTGCACATCTTGCAATGCCCTTCAGGAAGAGGAGAATAGGAGAGGGCTCAAAGGGGCCAGAGTCAGTAGGGTGAGGAGGGGCACAGACAGGGCACACTCACTTAGTATGCACACAGAA